GAGTTACTGATAAGCATGAAAACTGTCCATTGTTGAAGCCAACAATAATGCTTAAAACTGAAAAATCAAGAAGTAGCAAGACAAGCATGTTATTTAGAGATACAGAGATATTTACTAAAAAAAAAATATTAGAATAGAAAGTGTTTGCCTTTGGGTATGGATAACGGGGGAGGGAGCAGTAAATTGCTGTTTCTTTGGTAACAATGAAGAAGCAAATGACATTTTAAATAACATACACCGATAACTAAGTAAAGAACGACCTGGATAAATGTTCTTTTCGGTTAGATAAGGTATTTTAAAGAAGTAATCCATCATATGTGCCTCTACTTATGCAGGGAGAGTGACCTTTTAAAAAACCAACACTCCAGAATTCACTTACTCTGGAACTCTGAGAGTGTTCCACTGACTTTAGCATTGCTCAATGCATTTGTGATCCCCTATTTGGAAATGATGTTCAGAGATAAGTTCATTAAACATAAGCTTATTTAATAATCTTAAATATATTAAATTTCACAGCACATTGGCTGGGGGCCACATTGAGTCCTCAGGGAGCTGAAGCCACACTGCAGTTGGTGAACAGATTTCTCTGAAAAAGCTCATTGATTTCATGTTTAGAATAGCAGAGTCTGGGAGAAAGGTTGGGCCATGGAACACCTGTCAGGGTTTGAGGAGAGGCACAAGGTGAAGGATGAATACACCAGGGTCACACCCACAGAATGAACGACTGGAGTTAACATAGGAAACACGGTGGAGGTGATAACTGAAAAGAGTCACTATAAGAAGCAAGAGATAATTTCAAACATTTCTAATTTATATTTTTAATAATACTCAAGGATATACTGCATTCATAAAACAAAAGTGATTTACTATATAAAAGTAATAGGTGAAAAAAAAGTTCTTGGAAATAAAAACATGGTTGCCAAACCAAGAGGCAGTAAATAACAGAATGTAATCATTGCTGAACTAAAAATGAGAGAACACAGGAAAGCAAGAAATTCCTCCAGAACCTAGAGCCAAAAAAGGACAATGATGGAAGTTCTTTTTAATGACGAAGATTTTCCCACTGAGGTCTATATTTGTTGATTTAGCCATATGCTATTTTTAAGAGGCACACTAAATATGGTATTAAACAGGTTAAAAAGGGGATGAACAAAGATATTATTGACTAAAGTACATTAAAAAGAAAGCAGGGATGGTAATATTAATACCAGGCAAAGAATTTAAACAGAAAACATTAGCTTATAATTGTGATACATTTTATAATGTTAGCTCATATAATACACAGAGAAGACAGAACACCCCATGAACCCTGACATACTTGGTAAGGGAATGCTGAAATATGTAAAACAAAAGCATCAGAAATGCAAGAAGGATTAGACAAACTACAATCATAATGAAGATCTTTCTTAGAATTTGGTGGATCAAATAGACAAAATCAAAGTAATAGTGTATCTGAAAAACATTATGTAAACATAATAATTAAAATGTTGTCATATATGTATAACTTGCTAACCTTTTTACTCAACCAAAAGAGAATGTAGTTGTTTCAAATACTCAAAAGACATTTATAAAAGTTCACGCAATAGACCACAAGAATAATTGCAATGAAATGACAGAGTCAAAATCACACAGACCATGTTATGTGACCATGGTAGCATAAATGTTAGAAAATAATAATAAAGAGACAATGTAATGCCCCTAGAAATGACAATTCCTAAATAATATCTTTAATCAAAGAGGATATCAAATCTGAAATAACAGACTATCTAGAAAATGACAGTGGAAACACCAACCCTATGGTAAACAGCAAAGCTGTACCTTAAATGCTTTTAATATCTAAAGAAATTAGGAAAATTTCTAAAATAAATTTTTCAACTCAACAATCAGAAGAAGATAAAATAAATCATTAAGGGGAAATAGTAGAAATTAGAAAATAAAAACAGTGGGATAAGAAAACAAAAATGAAGCAAAAACATAGTTCTCTAAAAAAAGCCAATAAAAACAGATCATTTATCAATCTATAATTATATAGTATAAAAATTTATACATAATATGTAAGATATAATGTATATTATAGTTATGTTCTAGAAATATACTCTAAAAATAAAAAGGACAAGTATAAAGATGACTTTCAATTAGAAGGAGTTCATATTGATTATTACGGCACAAACACAAATCAGAAGAAATCATGGATATGTTACAATCAAATCCTATTGAAACTGTGATGTCAGAGAATAACGTTCATTCTCACTATCAAGGTTCTGCGTGAAAGCTCCCACCTTAGGCCTCTGCACTTTCTGTCCCTACGCTCTAGAGCGCTCTCCACCCAGACACAATCTCTGCTCAAATGTCCCACAGTATCTTTGTTTGACTACCCATTCACATTCTAGTCTTTTCATCCTCTGCCTGCTTTATTTTTATTCACATCACCACATGATACATATGTTTATTATCTGTCTCTTCCACTACTGTGTAAGGTCCTTGAGAAATATTTGGTGTCCATTTTGTTCACTATCTTCCTGGTCCCTAGACCAATGAGTGACTTGCAGCAGACTTGAAATAAATTCATTAAAGGAAGGTTGATACATAAAACATGTAGGTGATATGGTGTGACATCTGTATAACATGTCCCTGATAATGAGGGTCTATTGTACTCGTGGTCTAGATTTTTACATACGTCTCAATAGCATGTGGGACAGACAGAGGCAAAGCCAACCTGAGCTATCCACACTTTGGAGACCACGGCAGACAATGTCTTGTCCCAAGTCTGCTATGACGAGTTGGAGTCCTTCCTCAGGGAAACCTCTAGTAATTCTCATATTGTACTCAAAGATACTCTAGCATTCCTAACTAAATTCTAAGTTCTTTAAAGAAAAGGACTGTTTCTTAATACTCTTTCTATGACTCACAGGGCTTAGAACTGTGCCTGAAATACATTCAGTACTCAATACTTTTTTTCGAATGAACTGAGAACTCCTTGGATTTGCAAGGAATGAAGTGGTATTTGGTTCCTAACTTCTGGTTTGAGACCTTCAATCTGCACCTTGGCTCTGAGTGCCATTGTCATCTAGGAATCCAACACAAGCTCAATCTGGAATCCTAACTTAGCCCTGCCACTGGAGGCAAGTCAGGCTGCTCCCCGCTGCTCACTGTCATCGACTTCCAACATAGTTACGAATACAGGGATGGGAGCCAGACATATCTGAATTTAATCCCAGTTTCTCCACTAACAAAGTGTATATTATGGGGCAAATCCCTGCTTTCTTTGTCTCACTTTCTACCTTTCTGAGCCTCAATGTGGCAGAGGCTGCTAATTACTCATGAATACATTGTTCTTCCTTTAGTGTGGAACTTTAAGCTTCCACTGGCTGCATGGCTGCCCAGTTAGAGCTCACTTTACCCAGACTTTTTTGCTGCTGGCTGTAACTCTGGGACTAAGTTTCAGCCAAAGGACAGTGAAGACAGTAAGACCTGCCACTTCCATGTCACACTCCTAAAAAGAAAAGTCTTACTCTCTCCTCTTGTTTTTCCCCTTCTCTCTGGCAGGAGACAGTCAGGATGGCAAAGCAGCCATTTACAGAGGGAGCTGAAACAATCACGTTGGGCCCAGAGATGGAAAGCATTTAATGAGGATGGCTGAGTTGCCATACCAACTCTGGTCTGCTCATCTCTGGACTAGTGCATGAAACAGAAATAAACTTCAGTTTTATTTAAGCTACTATACTGGGTGGCACCTGTGGATCAGTGGGTAGGGTGCTGGACCCATATGCCTAGGGTGGCAGGTTCAAACCCAGCCCTGGTCAAACTGCAATAAAAAAATAGCCAAGTATTGTGGCAGGGGCCTGTAGTCCCAGCTACTCGGGTGGCTGAGGCAAGAGAATCGCCTAAACCCAAGAGTTGGAGGTTGCTGTGAGCTGTGACACCACAGCACTCTACTGAGGGTGACAAATAGAGACTCTATCTCTAAAATAAAAATAAAAATAAAAAAACCCCACTATGCTTTGGGATCTCTTTGTTACAAGAGCTTAAACTGTACTCTAGTTGTAAAATGAGACTGCTACCTCGTAGGGCTGTTCTGAGGAGGAGTGTGGAGGAGGAGCTAAGAGAGTGCTATTATCATCCAGACTTGTATAGCTTTCTTTCAGCCTGATACCAATCTCAGGGTCTGAGCTGAAGCACTGAAAGTGACACATCTGGAGTGGTGTGACTAATGCCAAAGTCATTCACAATCAAGATTAGGCAATACAGCACCACACTTCCAATTTCCAACCGCAAATCTCTGCGTCAACCAGTGGCCAGTTGGCTGGTGAAACAAGACGAGAAACCTTTGTGGTGCTGGTAGCAGGGAAGAAGTAGGGCCAGATACCTGTAATTTGATTAATTTTCTGTTATGGCAAATACTGTCTAAATTGTATTCCATATCTCTTTGCAACTTTTGGTAAAAAAGCATCCAGTTCTTTTTGGTGTGCTGTGGAACTGGATCTAATTTGAGGCTGTGTTTAAGTGTGTTAAGTTCAGTTCTGCCTTAAGGGTAGAGGGAAACTTGGGTTAGGTGATATAGCAAAAAAGGAGCAACTTGGCCAAGAGTCGCTGCAGAGTGGTGACAGCAGAGCACACGAGACCTGCCTGTACACATTACCCCAACACTGGATGGAAATGGTGACTTTTAAGCATGGATTAAGGAGAGAAAATCAAAAACATTCATATGTTCTTCACTACAACCACTAGAATTTTCTCTCCACTCTTCTCACCAAAAATAATTGAAACATCCTTCTATTAATTGTAAATTTGAAAATTCATGTTTCATCAGAGAGTTTTCATATGGTTAAGTCTCCACTTACTAAATGGAAATTTCCCCAATATGGCACACACAACCTGGGTGAAGGGGACAACTACAACTTGAACTTTACCTTACAAATGCAACTATGCAACCTAATTGTGTGCACACACATATCCATCTGAAATAATAAATAAATAAATAGAAATTTCTCAGCACTTACCCCATTGCATTATGGGCTTGGTTCTCCATGTCAACAAACTGCTACATCTGGCTTATATTTCTTGATTTTTAATCTGTTAGGGGAAAAACGATCTAGATTCCTAAAACGCTTACGTTTATTAACCCATAAAACATGAAAATTTTGTGGCTGGCAAAAACTACTTGGTATGAGTTTTTCTGAGTACAGTAGCTCTTGGTTCTACTAAATGTAGGAACTTGGGCTTTGTGTGTGTGTATGTGTATTTATGATGTCAGCTTAGTGATGAGTTGAAGTAAGTGGTACTGCCTGTTACTACTTCCTGAGCAACAGTGTGGTACTAGGTACTTTGTGAAGTGCTCAGTGCACAAGGATGAGTAAAACAGAATTCCCATTCAAGAGGAGTTCTAAGTTCTAGCTAGTTAAATGTTCTCAAAATTTCTATTCTGGTGGATCTCCTGAAGGTTTGTCTTTATCTGAGTATCTACTTCCCTTGGCCCTTTCTACATTTTCTTAGAATGAATATGCCCCGAGATCTGAGATGAAAATACAAAGAACAGCTTCAAAATAGAAATCTTAAAAGTCTTCAATAGCTTTATGGGCACTGACTCACTTCTTGACAAAATAGGGATGTTAGTTAGAACTTGCCTAAAATTAAAGTTATTTAATGAATTTCAATTCATTTAAAAAATAATCTATGAGAATAAAGGGACAAAGTATTGAAAAGGACGAGCTCCCAAACCACTGAATAAAAGTCAAACAGCATTCAACGTGGTAGAAAGGAGGAGGGCTGGCGCTCACATCATTTTCAAATCAAAGGAATTGAGAGTAACCCTGAAATTGAATGCCGAACGGGGCGGGACGGGGTGTTGTTTGGGCGAGGAGCAGGTATGGCGAAGACAAACTTGACCAGAACCAACAGGTGGATAAAAAACTGTGTAGATTCTCAATCCCTCACTTTAACGTGAGGGAAACTGAGACACACACAAGTTACGTGACTTGCCCAAGACCACACAACTAGAACCTTGACCTTCCAAGGCAGGGAGAATCTCTGCTGGATTCTGCAAGGGCGTCCTCCCACCGGGCCCCGTCCCCCCACCCGGACCCGTCCTCCCAACGGGCCCCGTCCTCCCACCGGGCCCCGTCCTCCCACCAGGCCCCATCCTCCCACCCGGGCCTGTCCACCCGCCACGCGCCCCCGCCCGGACCCGAGCGCGGCTGAAGCCTCCGGCAGACCGGTCGCCCGTCGGGGTCTCTGAGCCCTGCCCAGAGGCCAGGCCGAGGGTCAGGGGCGAGGCGGAGCCGGGGGCGCCACAGGCCGGTTACCTGCGCTTTCCGCCCTCAACCAACAGGTCTGAAGCCTTTGGGGCGCAGGACCGCGGGGGTCACCGCCCGCCCGGCTGGGCCCGCCCCGAGGGGCCCCGCCACCCGCCGCCGCGCGCTCGCCGGGGGCCGCCGGCCGTTGGAGCCTCGCCCTCCCCGCGCGCCGCGGCGCCACTGGTTGCCATGGGGACGGGGCCCCAGGTGGGGGCCGCGCGGAGGCGGGTGCGTGCGGCGACGTGTCCCGCTGTCATCTGTCTGGTGCCTTCTAAGACCCAGGCGGCCGCATCCTGGGCCCTTGGCTCTTTCGGACCCCCCAGTGCCCGGCTCCCAGCTGCTCCTGAGAAATATTTGTTGAATGAATGAACCAAGGCGATAACCAAGGAACGGTGTCAATGGCTGGGAGGTCCGCCCCAAATTCCCTCGATTTCTCCACCCCACCCCACTTTCTTTCCTCTTAACCAGATTTGAAATAGTATGGGAAATGGTGCTCTTTTCTCTATTCACCCAGGTGTCTTCCAGCCGAGAAGGGAGGTTTTCCTGTAACCGCATTGCTAGTCCGCAGTCACTGGACTGTGGTGACAGTAGCATTTGTACCTGTCCTTCCTGCAGCACATTGGGTCCTGGAAAACTTGGCGGGGCAGGCGGAGGGGACGTGCGGCCTCCTTTCAGGGAGAAGGAAATAGCTTCTGTGTGGGAGAACCGGAGCGACACCAGGGTGACTGATTCCAGATTCTTTTCATTTTCCACCAAGTTCCAAGAATAATTGATCGCAGAATTTGTCCCACCCTCTTGATTTCAGAGGGGAAACGACAAGGAAGAATAGATAGTATACAGAATTTATAATTCTTTGTATCAACAAGGGAAATAATTACTTTTATATTTTCTTTTTTTATTTAATAAAGTTTTATTTTTACAAACATACAGTTGGTTGGACCTGTTCCTGTATCTTCCCCGGTAGCGGGGGCATCTCACCATTTGTATTGAGGTTGTAAATCATTTGAGCTCCGTGCTTTGAAACCAGTTTGATAAATCCTACTAAGGAGCTCCTGCAGGGCCGCCCGGCCAGGCCGCAGTGAATCTTGCGTCTCCCGGAGACCACGACTGGTTTTAGACGCTTATAGTTGAGAACTTCCTTGCAGAACTAGGTTATGGAGCTTGTCCCAAACTTTGCCTTTGGAGTGTTTCTTCTTTTCAGCCCCATCCCTCATTTCTTAATGGGGATTTCGCTTTTCTTGGCTGACTTTCCGCCGCCGCCTTCTTTGCATCTTTGGGCACCATTGTGAAGCTAGGAAAGCACTAGGACAGAAGGGGAGGTATTTTTATACTATTTTCAAAAGCAAGTTCAACAATTATATACTCGTATACGTTACCATAAAAACTGAGTATATCCTATACATGGAAAATACTTTTTTATTGTTGGGGATTCATTGAGGGCACACAGGAGCAGGTTACATACATCGCTTTTGTTAGATAAGGACCCTCTCATATTTGTGTCCCGCCCCAAGGTGTGGTACACCTGTTGGAAAATACTTCAGAAAAAAACTTTACATCATAATAATCAAATGATCATAGAAATGGAAGAAACCATAGAGGAGATACAGTCTAATCCCTTCATTTTATGTAAAGAAACTCAAACCCAAAAAGTTATACTTGTTTGATGAGTCTCATTGCTAGTTAATGGCAAAAATGGAGATTAGAACCTAGGTCTTTTTCTTATTATACAATGCTAATTTTATAAATGGAAGTAAATTTATGGAATTTTCTGAAGCTGCTTCAATACAGATTCTATTTGAAAATAACCACTGAGGCTCGGCGCCTATAGCTCAACCGGCTAAGGCGCCAGCCACGTACACCTAAGGTGGCGGGTTCGAATCCCCAGCCCAGACCCGCCAAACAACAATGACGGCTGCAACCAAAAAATAGCCGGGCGTTGTGGCGGGCGCCTGTGGTCCCAGCTACTTGGGAGGCTGAGGCAGGAGACTCGCTTGAGCCCAGGAGTTGGAGGTTGCTGTGAGCTGTAATGCCACGGCACTCTACCCAGGGTGACAGCTTGAGGCTCTGCCTCAAAAAAAAAAAGAAAATAACCACTGAGCAAGAAGAGATTCAGTGTTTAGAAAAGATCACCCTAGAGCAATGCTATGGAGTAGAAATATTTATGCAAGAGACTTATGTAATTTTAAATATTCTAGCAGTCAAATTTAAACAGTAAAGTGAAACAGGTGAAGTTAATTTTAATAATATATATTTAAGCTGATATATCTAAAATATTATCATTTAACATGTAGTCAATATAAAACTTAGTGAGATTTTATATCTATTTTTTAATACTAGGTCTTCAAAATCTGATGTATAGTTTGTGGTTACAGCTGTATCAGCACGTACTGGCCATTTTCAAGCACTTAATAGTCACACATGCCAGGTGGCTACCGTATGGGACAGGGAAGTTGGAGAATATGGCTGCCTGGTTCATTAAATGTGAAGAGCCATCCTGGAGGGACCTTTCAAATTATTTGAGTGTGATTTGAGCAGGATTATGAAAGTATCGTGCCTCAACCTCCTCACTAACCTCCTCTGGGTTGGGAGAGGGATTGGACATTGGAAGAGAAGCTCATAAATCAGGGCACTTAGGCAGACAGGGTGTGGAATGCCCAGTGGGCCAATCTAGTCGTTACTAGCCAGGTTTGCTTCCCTGCGTAGGGGAATTAGAAACACCAGGTCTCATTTTAGGTTCGGAAAGCAAAATCAAATTTTTCAGAAAATGGCTACCATGATTTTTTTCTTTTCCTTTTTATGGGCCCTTAGGTTTTGGTACTGTGCTTTTGAAAATATCATCTTCTTTTGGATATTAAGGGGAGGTCAGGGAGAAAGATTTTGTATAATAAGGAGCTAAAGTTATGTAGATGGAATACTTACTTCCTGAAGCCCGGCCTGGCAACAATGGTGAAGTGAACGGGTCCCTAGTAGGGGAAACAAATGAGTAACTAGGAAGGAAATCGGACCTTCTGTTCACCTCAGCCAACTTCTCTAGGAGCTCATCTCTGCTAAAACCATACAGGTTCCTAGCTAAATAAGGATAGTGAGAAGTTACTGCCTCAAAATCTAGAAGACAAGAGTGAGAAGAGAAGTGAGCCTGGCGCTAGTGCTGCTTTTGCCATGAAGGCGTTGATGCTCTGGAAGCAGCAGCTACAAACCTGAGCGGCAGTTTTGGTAGTCTTGTGAAGCAGAGGGAGCAGAAGACAGAGCCTGGGCTCACCCCAGGGAGGAGTCACCACGTACTCTAGTCTTTAAGCTGGAACTGAGAGGACTTTACCATTGGGAAATGGGAAGGGGAAATAAATCAGTGCTCCTGCTGACTTCAAGTCCGGCTTTGAATCACCCAGGTGATGCAGAACAATCTCAATCCTTGAATTTGTAATAAAGTGAAACTGGACTGGTAGATTAAGTTACCCGCAAGTAGGAAACAAAAATTTTCTCTGGTAGGTGGCTCACGCCTGTAATCCCAGCACTTTGGGAGGCCAAGGAGGGTGGACTGCCTGAGCTCACATGTTCGAGACCAGCCTGAGCAAGAGTGAGACCCGTCTTGAAAAATAGCTGGGCATTGTGGTAGGTGCCTGTAGTCTCAGCTACTTGGGAGACTGAGGCAAGAGAATCTCTGGAGTCCAAGAGTTTGAGGTTCCTGTGAGCTGTGACACCACAGTGCTCTACAGAAGGCTACAAAGTGAGACTGTCTCAAAAAAGTTTTTTTCCCTCTGGTAAACAGAAAATCTTTTTAGGCCTCAAATAATTCTTCAAAATAATTTCTTAAATGCAATGACCAAAAAAACAAACAATGAATGAAAACAAGAATTTTTTTTAATTAAATCATAGCTGTGTACATTAGTACTATCATGGGGTACAGTGTGCTGTTTTTATATAAAATTTGAAACATTTTCATCAAACTGGTTAACATAGCCTTCATGTCATTTTCTTAGTTATTGTGTTAAGACATTTATATTCTACATTTAGAAAGATTCACATGTACCCTTATAGGATGAACCATATGTGTGATCCCAGCAATCCCCTCCCTCCACCTATCATCCCCCGCCCCTGCCCTTCCTCTCTTCTTTCCCCATATTCTTGGGCTATAATTGGGTTATAGCTTTCCTATGAAAGCTATAAATTAGTTTCATAGTAGGGCTGAGTAGATTGGATACTTTTTCTTCCATTCTTGAGATACTTTGCTAAGAAGAATATTTTCCGGCTCCATCTATATAAACATGAAGGAGGTAAAGTCTCCATCTTTCTTTAGGGCTGCATAGTATTCCATGGCATATATATATATATATATATATATATCACAATTTATTAATCCATTTGTGGGTTGATGGGTGAGTACTAATAACCAAAAGTAAGATCACAACAGATATGCATCATCAAAAATTTGTGAATTGGGCTCGGTGCCTATAGCTCAACCGGCTAAGGCGCCAGCCACGTACACCTAAGGTGGTGGGTTCGAATCCCCAGCCCAGACCCGCCAAACAACAATGATGGCTGCAACCAAAAAATAGCCGGGCGTTGTGGTGGGCGCCTGTGGTCCCAGCTACTTGGGAGGCGGAGGCAGGAGACTCGCTTGAGCCCAGGAGTTGGAGGTTGCTGTGAGCTGTAATGCCACGGCACTCTGCCCAGGGGGACAGCTTGAGGCTCTGTCTCAAAAAAAAAAAAAAAAAAAAAATTTGTGAATTGGAAGATAGATCAGAAGAAAGTATCCAGACTATAGGGAAATCAAAAATAATAGAAAACATTTTAGAGTGAAGATTTTACAACTTTAGTACTTATTGATAGAATTATTGATTGTTATGAAAATAAAAATAAAAAATCATTGTGAAAGAATTTAATACATTCCCTGGCATATAGAGAGTACTCAAGAAGTGTTTATTGTCTTCAAAGTTTTTAAAAATTAAATTGGTTACTTTTCAAATTATCTCTGTCATTTTGTATAATTTCTGCTTCTCTATCAAAAGGTTCAAACTTCTATTTTAACTTTTGTTTACATTTT